CCCCCCCCCACCTAGGGGGATGCCCGCCCCCAGGTGGGACCTGGAGACCCCCCCCCCCCCAATCGCAGCTCGTCTCCAGGCCACAGAGGTCAGTTCCCATGGAGAATAGGGGTGCTTTGGAGGGTGGGCTCTATGCAAGGGTGTAGACTTTCCAATTTCGGGGGGGGGGCCTGGGGCTGGGCCAGAGGCATTGCTTTGCTAGGAGCAAGGGTGGCTCCCGGGGGAGGCTGAGCACCTTCCTGAAAATTTCGGAGGGGGCTGACGCCCCGCCGCCCCCACGAAGATTACGCCTGTGCCGCCATTGTAGCCCCCCAGGCGTGGTCCCCAAATCTCCCGGGAGTTTCCCCAACGTGGTTCTGGCAGTCTTAACACACACACACACACAATTCCCTATTGGTGGCCAGGGGGGAGCTGACCATTACCCCAGCATGCATTTTTTTTTATTTCCTGGGGCTTGAGAGAGAAGAGAGGCATTTCCGACAGGCAAAAGATGCTGAACTGCAGGCTGTGGAAGCTCGGTCGTTCAGCAGTTCGAGACCCGAGTGTGCCGCATGACGGAGTGAGCTCCCGTCCCTAGTTCCAGCTCCTGCCAACCTAGCATTTCGAAAGCAAGAAATTGCAAGTAGGCCACATGACCACGGAAACGTCTTCGGACAGCGCTGGCTCTTCGGCCTGGAAACAGAGATGAGCACCGCAACCCTAGAGTCGGATTCGACTGGCTTTCGAGCAAGGGAACCTTTACCTTTAGGCCAACTGCTCTAGGGATGCCCGCCTCCAGGTGGGGCCTGGGGTCCCCTGGAATTACACCTCACCTCCAGACTACAGAGGTCAGTTCCCCATGGAGGAAATGGATGCTTTGGAGGGTGGGCTCTGTGGCACTGCACCCCACTGTTGGATCCCCAAGCATCGAGAATAAATCCACGTTTTCAAGAAAAGCAAAATTTATTTCAAAGCGTTGAAGACATACTCAAACACGTTCTTTGTTAGAACTGGGGATACACAGTTAGGGCGAGCATAATAAAGGAAATTCAAACAGATACATATCCAATGAATAATATTCCCGCTGGCGGGCTAATGAAACGGTTGCGCGCCCAGTCCATGGGAACCAGGCAGAACATCAGACAAAACACAGGTGCAGTTCTCATGAGATAGCAATAGGCAAGCATTACAGCATCTTCTCCCACACACATCCACCAGTAGTTATCTTAGGCATTCCAGCACAGAAGCAGGATAGTAGAAACAAGCCGGGTGCAACAGGGTAAGGATATGTACACAGAGGTCACAGAAAACAGAATGGCAGCTTGCTGACATACTGCCCCCCTTAAAATACACTTAAAACACACCTCCCGGGTCGGGCGGGAGATCTCCCGGGCTGGGCGGGAGACCTCCCGGTTTGTCCGGGAACCTCTTGTGGAAACTACGGATCAGGTAAGGGGCCCGAATATCCCCTTCTTCCACCCATTCGCGGTGCTGGGGACCGAAATCAACCCATTCGATAAGGTACCAGAGTTTACCACGTTTCAATTTACAATCAAGGATATCAGCGATCTCAAAATGTTCATCCCCTTCCAAAATGACAGGTGGAGGAGGAGTAACTGCTGGTCTCCAGGGAGACGGGCCAGGATCCTTCTTCAACAGGCTCATGTGAAAAACAGAATGCAGAGCACGTAAATTCTTAGGCAAAACAACATCAACCGCCACATTATTTATGACTTTACGCACTTTGAATGGACCAATGAACTTCCACCCCAATTTCCTGCTAGGTCGCAGCATCTTAATGTTCTTGGTCGAGACATACACAAGATCCCCAGGTTTCAGATCAAACCCCACCACCCTACCCTTGTCTGCCTGGGTCTTGTAAGCAGCCTTGGCTGCGTCAAGCGTTTGGCATAGCAGAGGCCATGCATTTTGCAAGGACATACACCATGTATCAGCATCCCCCACAGGACGTTGGCCCATCCCCTCCAGGAAAGGGAGGGGGGGCTGTCGTAACCAGAAACAGCTTTATAAGGAGACATGCCCGTGGAGCTATGGACAGTGTTGTTATAACAATATTCAGCAAGAGGCAACAATTCACACCAATCATTTTGTTGATAATTAGTAAAACAACGAAGATATTGCTCCAGGGTCTGATTCACTCGTTCTGTTTGTCCGTCAGTCTCAGGATGATACGCGCTGCTGAGCCCTTGTTCCACCCCTAAAATGGAAAGAAGTTCCCTCCAAAACTTAGAAACAAATTGGGTCCCCCTGTCAGAAATTAATTTAGCAGGTAATTGATGAATTTTCACCACGTGAGACATAAACGATT